ACAGGAGTTACAGGGATTTGGTTCAATGCAGGAAGTCGACGATGATGGTTGAAATATGGATGATGAAAATTACGATGGTGGCTGTAATTACTAATGCTTCTGACACGCTGAGTTGTCTGAGAAATTATTGAGGGAGAATGTTGTGGAAAATACTGAGAAAAATTCTGAGGAATATTCCTGGGAATATTCTGTGAAACATTTGGGGAAACATGGGGAACGTTCGGAACATTCTGGGGATTATTTATGATACCGAGCGCTTTTATTGAAGGTAGTGTTTGGTTATGGTTATTTGTGGAATTTCGTTCAATGATTGGCGGAAGGATCAACGGAACATCATCTATGTTTGGTATGTTTGGAATGCGGTTTTTTACAGGGAGAGGAGGAAGGTGACGTATGTTATTGTCCGAAAGTTCAGTCGAAGGTGAGGATAAGTTTGGGGTTGGTGTGGTCGTTTCAGCTAGATCATTATTAGGATTGTATAGATTTTCAATCCAACTATTTATGGTCAATAAATAAAATTTAATTTTTAATTTTTTTAAACAAAAAAAAAAAAAAACGATAATACGATAACTTACTGACGACGAATCTTATCTGGACTGTATGGTTTTTCATTAATCAATGTCTTGATCAGGTTTTCTGAACATTTCATTTCGACCATCTTCCTAGTATAATTCTGGATCAATTTTTCTCTGATCATTTCGTATCGGTTTGGAAGAAAGCTCCACAATTTCATGTATTTGATAATAATATTGTCATCCTTTTTGTTAATCAAAAAAAAAAATAAATAAATAAATAAAATGAATTAAGACTAATAGACACAGCAAAATTTTGCAACATACGTGATAATCGAAGCTTTGAAATTTCATAATGAATTGATTTTTTATTTATAAATATAAAAGTTAAAAGCGATAGTGAAAGCAAGTTCTTTTAGGTTGAATGAAAATGAAATATTTTGTTTTGTTTGGATTAAATCAAAGGAAGTTGAACAAGTGAGAAGGCGCTTTTTTATGCTATTTTATAGCTAAAATATTTGTCAACCATATGAACCAAAATTCCCAAGCAATTTATTTTGTGCGATTGTTCCATAGATTGATTAGAATTTTAGAATCAAAATTCTTTGTTTTTATTCAATTTATTCTATTTATAATTTATCATTAATGGTCGAAAAGTAGACTACTGAAACTTAGGGGTGAGATTTCATGAATGGATCATCATTTACTAGATCAGGTAAAATTGTATTGTATATGTTTTAGGCAAAGTACT